CTTCCTGTTCGTGTCTTAAGACTTTTGTTTAAACGGCTACATGCTCGATTTGATTGAGCCGACAGTTACTGGCCTAACATTCATCACCATATCAGATTAAGCTGACCCTCTATTGAGTGGAATAAGGAGATTAATTATTCTTCAGTACAGTCTATTGACCCTTTTTGCTCAGTGCGGTGGCTTCATGCCCGGGCACTGCTAATTAGGAACTCAGCACCACGAAGCACTACACTTTTTTTTTTTTTTTTTAAAGAATATACAGGTTAAAATGTCAGTCCAGATAAATATAATTAATTTCCATACTGGTTTGAGTTTAAAGATGAAATGAGGTGATTGATGAGAGCAAGAAAGTAAGGTCACAGTGAACTTATAGTGTATGTTTTTTATTTGGTCCTCTGTGGTCAGAGAGACTTTCTCTTGTTCATGTTAAGTCAAAAGGAAATACTTTACTGTTTGTGCATTTCTTGTTTTGTAATTGAAAGGTTTACAACTTGGCAAAATGTTAAGTAATTAAAGTTTTTTTAACTCAGAAAAGTCAAGGCAAATCATATTTTGGTCTCATGACTTTAGGGGAACAATAACTAATACCAGTGGCCCATATAATGATGATAGCAGACCAAAACAAGGTTCAGGATGTCAATTAGTTATTGTAACAAAGAATGTGACATTTGAATACTTAGGTACTGAACACGTGTGGACATGGTAATTTAATATATATACATATAAAATATAAAAAGCATCTCTGTAATCACTGATTTATTAAAGCACACCACAGTCAACAGGCTATAGTAAGAGAAGCTGTCAGTCATAAAGTGTACTTTGTAATCTTTTGCATCATCAGATCAGCAGATGGAAACTGCAGGCACCCTTAAAAGAGTATTACAGAGTTACACCATGGCTCCCTGGTGCCAGAATATGTCTAGAGAACCATTTTTGCACTAAGAGGCCAACCTTTGCCAGGTGATGTAATGCCACAGCTTCTTCACACAGGCCGAGGTCAGAGGAACTCTGACCACAGACTGACAGAACTCACACAGGGTGTCAAGGTAATGTGGCCTTTAAGCCCAGAGAGATTTGGGGGCGGGGGGGGCGGGGCCCAGATAATAGCACAAGGAGAGGGAGAGAGAGAGAGAGAGAGAGAGAGAGAGAGAGAGACAAAGACCAAAACCCCAGAGCACGAAAGCATCTGAGCGAGAGGCAACAATAGCAAAAGAGTGAGAGAGGGCTTTTAGCATCCTGAGAGAGGTCTGAGATATCATATACACAGGAAGTAGGGGTGATAAAGATCGATATGGGCTGCATTAGGCCTGGCCATGCCGAACTCACCTCTCATAAGTCATAAATCACTATACAGTCCTCCTAAACAAAATCTGTGTACATCTCTTTTGTCTGGTCTGTCTTGAAAAATAAATGTTATCATACAGTATTGTTGGCACATGAGCATGCTATAAAGTATCATAAATCCAGTACAATAAACCATTAAACCAGTATTTATGCTGTGTATGAACATGGTCTCAAAAAGCATCGTTTTCTTCTTTGTGGTCATTTTTGAGGTCAGCAACTATAAGAAAAAAGCTGATAACCTCTTTCCACAGGTGTGAGCTTCATTTTAACTGGATGCTAACGTTTTGTAGTACAAAGACAACCCGTTCTGTCTTCAACTACAGAATACACATTTTAGCAGTATGAACTGGACTCTTCACTTGCCTTTGCTGCTTCTAGTGATTTTATTACTGAGATATGTGTTCTTGTACTGAGCACTGATCACAGTGGAGTAAACTATTCTTTGTTTAAGTCATTTACATAGGCTGATGCACTTTGAATAAGCTGGGAGCAACACAGTGTCTCACTCAAGGACGCTACCACTGTGGGCTTTTAAACCTTTATACAGGAATTGTTGAAGAAGCATACTTGCTTTTTTCCACCTGACCTGCTAATCCATTAGCTATGATAGGCTGGAGTTTTAGAGTGAAAAGCCCACTCAGGCCTTTTATGCATTAACATGCCCAAGCCGGTCAATGCTGTTGCACTAATCGAGTGAAAGTGAGACGCACTCTGGCACACGCACATACTCACCGTCTGTACACACATGTGACCTAACATATATTTGCATACTCCACCCACCAGTCATAAACTGCTAACCCCCCCCCAACACACACACACACACACACACACACACATCCTAGTGATGATATTTCAGCCACCCATAGCCCCTACCCCCTCAATTCCACCTGCCCCCATTATCTCACTGCTATTGATCCACATCTCTTCCTCTGCCTGCACAACCAGCTTTCACTGGATAATTTTCAAGGGCATGTATAAATACAAAATGGGTTTGATGGGTGGTTGTTCTGTGGCTGTAAATTTGTGAGAAAGAGAGAAAGAGACATGACCAGGCAGGACGAAGGTCTGTAGGTCATCGTCTGGCAAATCAAAAGCACTAAAAATTACTGATTAATAGCCTTTCTTTTGGTTTCAGTTGAAGTTAATTTGTTTCTGCTTTACAGTATTATAAAGAGCATTCTCGTGTTCCAGTTTTCACACTGAATATTCATGAAATATTCAACTCTTTCTGAATACAGATGCACATCTGTAGACTGTCACACTGAGACACCTTGGCAGCAGCATGCAACAGTCACACGGAGACCAGAGAAATGGCTGTAGATTCAAACCATAATGGAAACAATAGCTTTTCTCAATAGTCTTTCCACCAGTTCTGCTCACAACTAGCAGTTACTCTGATTTCCTTTTGTTGTCATTGTTTTTTTTCCATGTAAAATAATATAATGTTTGGCAATCTTTGGGGTGCAGGATTAGCCTTATGTCCTGGGGCAGACTTAATTTCCTGTACTGCCAGGCAGCGGTACTGAATGTGTACTCTGCTCTGTCTGGACAGAGGTAAACAGGCCATCTGAGTGGAACAAGATCCAACATTCTCAGAAACACTGCAGGAGAATCACAGAGTGGAGCTGTCCCTCCACCCTGTCCCTGGGTCAACCTGCATGTGTGTGTTCAATATGTGTGAAGTAGTGTGGGTTGGGCTACAGAGCAGGAAGCATCTGTTAATAGAGGGGAGCCAGGAGGTACTGAAGTGTATGTGTCTGCATGCATGAATGCACGAGTGTGTATTCAAGCTTGTGCGTGTGTGTGCATATGTCTGTGCATCAACATGTACTTGTGTAGGCATTAAAGCCAAGTGTTTAGCCTTCTCCACTGTCTTTGGCAGACCTGGCCGTGGCCCCTCTCCCTCAGGGTTACAGCCAGAGATGCCGTTAGGCTTCCTGTAATGTACAAAGAGAGACCCATACTGTGTACTCACTGACAAACAGGTGATAGTGAACATGAGTGAAGTTCCTTCTATTAAATATATAGTCAACATTTCTGAAGACCACCATTTGAACTTGCTTTTTGTCCCCATAAGGACACTGAGTCCCCACAATGTGACTGTGTGAAGAGTTACTTCCTCACAGCATGTGTAATACCAGGCAACACAGGCACACAAACACTTCTCTAGATGCCAACTGGAAGGAATTTACTCTCAAGTCTGGCTGCAATACCTTCAGTCCTCCAGAGAAGAGTGTAGACTCTGCAGGGGGCGGGCCCATGCTAATTACCTTCTTCACTGTTGAAGGACTGTGGTTCTTCTTACCATTGCTAACTCTGAGAGACAAGACAGTCCAAGTAACTTCAAAACAGTACTGATTTATTCCATGAACACAGGTAAAATTAACATTACACGCTCAGGTATCTTGCACCTCCATACTGCTCACAGGCAGATGTAAGATGAAAGCCCCTGAACCCACCAGGCCTATACATTATATCCCCTCGGTTGGGCTAGCCCCATACTACACAGAAACGTCAACCAAGACGTCTCTGTTGCCAGCTTTGCAGCTGGCCATAGCAGTAGTCAAAACATGAAGCAAATCAACGTGTGAATGTGTGTGTGTCTGTTGATTAAGTGGTGTGTAGCTAAAAACATTCTCACGACCTCTAGTAACATGTCGTGACTTAAACATAAGAACATATTATGACTAAGGCTACAGTTATACACATCATAATAATAATATTGAACACCCTGTCTGCTGACAGTCATCAACTCTTCTCTCTAGTTATCCTTGACCAGATGTACCCTGTAGAAACTCATAAGCATGACTAAGCATTTAACAGTCTAACTAGACATCCTATCTCCACTAAACATTTCTAATACATAAATTATCTATCCAATATCTATCTGACTAAAAATACCTAACACTGTAAAGACTATGTGATGGATGAACATACAAGCAGGTTAGTGCTGTTACTCACCAAATAAATCCAGACTGGTGGTATTTATCCTCATGAAGGAAGGGCCTGAAAGGCTATGTTTTGTAAATGATTACTAGCACAATCATTTTCTCATCTCAGGCTGTTATTACGTTACCAAGTTAGCTCTAAATGTTTTTTCCCCTACTTTTTCGGTGTTCTGTTTATCTGACGACTTAACACTCAACAAAAGCATACAAAAAATACTTGATTTTAGCAACAGAGGCTCCTGACTTCACTTGGACTTTAGCTACCAGTCATGGTGCCCATGATGGATGGAAGGTTACATTTGGCATTGCACATCAGCAGGCTGACAAACAATGACTTGTTTATGGATTGAAATGCAAAGTTTAGGACTTTGCCTTCACTCTGAACTGGTTACCCATATTGATTCTCTTGATTTTACTCAGGACTTGGTAGGAAACTTAATTGTGACTTGTAAAATATAACTGCTTGGATTTGTATACACAGTCTGTCATTAGGAAGTTGATGCCTGTGCTTGGTAATGTAGTAATGTATTGTGAATGAATCTGTGAATGGTTTTGTTTAACAGGAAATGAGGGCACCGCAGCGCCACATATTCACACACCTTTTCTTTTTCTTCTTCCACTTTTATTTACCTTCCTGATTTATCTCTCCTCGGTCTTCTCACTCTCTTGTCTCCCTCTTTGCATTTCTCTTTCCTTCATCACTCTCAGACAACTGGGGTGGGAGTCACAGGCCTTTGGCAGTGCTGGTGACAGCACCATTCAGCATCCCGTCTCTCACAATACTGGCACAGCTAAGTGTGAAAACGACCAGCTAATGGCTTTTTATCCAGTGTAGAAGCTTACCAGCCAATGTCTGTCCAGGCTAAAAACTTGCCAACCAATGATTGTTGAACATTGTGTCTCACAGGGCCAGTGCCTGCCATATCAGAGAATGTGGATTTTTCCACAGCAGACTTTTCTAGGTAATATGTTGCTATGCAGATTCCCCGCATTGAGTTGGAAAAGGTTATTTTTCTTTCAAGCTGTCCCACTTTCAGCTTGTAGCCATTAGTGTCATGTTTTTGAGCACATGTTGTTGATAAAGGTACTGTACAGGAAGTCATTTTCATAAAACTTAAAAAAACTGTGGGTTTTTGCTGTAATAAGAGAATCACCATTGTGTTGCTAAGTGTCAGTTGCTACACAAGCTGATATTGTGAAAAACCTACCAAAAATATTAGCTTGCTGATGTCTTTCCTCAGGTTGAGGTGAGTTTAAGATGTCATACCCTGTCTGTAGAGACTTGGTCTAGTTTTTAAAGAGGTATTCCAGCAATATTGCACGTCCCTAAAATGCAGCAGTCTGAGGGATCCTGTTATCCCCTGGTAGGTTTCATATCCCAGTAACTCTAGATCCTACACTTCCCACAATGCAGCTTGATAGCACCATTCATTCAACTCTTCCTGTATAGTAAATGCCCATATCTTTTAAACTCCATAACACTCTACTTGTAACACAGGCATCCTAGTCTGAGATTTAGACTTTCAAATGCTTCCTCCAGACTGACAGAAAATATTATACAACCGTGCAGTACTTCTCATGATGAGTAAACGGAAGTTAATGTGTAAAATCTGTTGCCTGTCCCTTTAATACGAAAGGTTGTTTGTAAAGAAACAAAAGCACCACACGTCAAATTGATCGGAGTGGACATGCTTCTTTCTCAGCACATGATCAGGTGTAGTCGGTGTTTGCTTTTGTGGGAAATAAGTGTCTGTTCTTGTCTCTCAAGTTTAATCTTTATTTGCAGCCCAGAAGGCCCAGTGAGTGGGCAATGTGATGTAGCAGTAATACACGTTTTGTGTAGTGTGATTACTGGTCAAGGTTTGTTTCTGCTAAAGCTTAGCTCTTTGAAAGGCTAGATTGGGATGGATGGAGTCTCAGTGAGGGTGAGAGAGATGCACGTTTGACTCCTTCTTTGGGTGCATGCACTAGCAGTCTTCTCCTCTGGTCCCTTGCTAACTCCACCTCCGGTCTCTCTCCCCTTCTCCCTTCCTCTCCTTCCTTTTCTCTGTGGCATGTCTGCCTTTGCAGTTGTCACATCAAATTCCAGCTTCCATTCATTACATCACCTCTTGCCCCTCTCTCTTCTCTCTGCCACACACACACACACACACACACACACACACTGCCATGGTGCCAGAGATATGGAAGTCTGGACTGAGGTACAGTAGAATTTCATTCTCAAGAGAACATTTGAAACTTTTTTTTTTTTATCTTCATCTGTTCCCTCTCTGTCACTTCTTCCACATTCCACCCTGACTGTCAGTCCTATCTGTATTATATGGTATGCCTCGCTGCCTGCCTCCTCTGCACACACACATGCATAATACGATACGCACATACTCAATCCAGTCTCAATTATATGCTGCACTCTGCCTTTTTGACTCTCTCCTCTCACACACTTTCATTTTGCCCGGCTCTCCGTCTCGTTTCTCTCACTCTCTCGCTCATATTCATTTCAGGTTCCTGCACTTTCTCCCCATCTCCATCTGTCTCACTGCACTGTATCTTAATCCAACCTCCTGTGGACCCTGCCAGTAATGGAGTGGAGTATAGCTGTGTGCTGGGCCTATTCAATAAGCTCAGTGTATGTTTTACTAAGTGGTGCCTGGTGAAACATGCAGTTCATATACAGTATATATTATATATTTTCCTCTCTGTGTTGTTCCTGAATGTTTGTCCCCTCCTACAACATTAGACCAAGCTAACAGTTGCCTCAGGTGACCACAGATTTCCACAGCGCTGCAGGGCTGAATGTGGAGCGAGTGTCTTGTACGGGACAACAGAGCTCACCTGGCTAGATGAAGTCATTTCACTCCCTCTTGCTCCCTTTGGTGCAGAATTGCATGTGGGTCAAAAAAGAAAGTGACAAAATATAAGGCTGGAGTAGTGACAGGGAAACGAGAGAGTGGAGGATGTAATGAGAGAGTGAACAGCTGGACAAAGAGAGATACAGGTGACACGGCAAAAAAGCACAGCATTTAAAGCAAAGAGGTGACATGGGTCAGAGAGAGACAATGCAAACAGATGCCATGGCTCAGAGAGCAGAGAAATGAGAAAACCAGCGGAAATCACATTCAGACATCAAGTTAAGTGGCGCATCAAAGGAAGGAGCTCATTTGTGCTGTGAGACTAACGGCATTGTCTCACTGTGCAAAGGTGAACTGCTGCTGTCTGCCGTATGGTTTCTGGTGTAACAACCTGCTCTGGAAGTGAGCGCAACACACGGTGACAGCTGCTGTTCTGAGCAAAGCCCTGTGTTAACAGCTAAGCCTCTGTGTTTTTAGTGTAGAATATTGCACTAAATTCATACTGGGAAAGCCTTTTGAGGAATTTCTTATAATGAACACCCCTTGTTTCTGATGCTACTATTCAAAAAAAGTTGTTATAAAACTTCCCTCTATGCATTTGCATTTACACATTTGCTTTTACATTTAAATCTGTGCATCATTGTGGGTTTGACTTAACAGCTAGATACCAAAAATGTGTCCATAAGGAAGTATCTGTGATATTTAACCATCATCTGGCACTGTTTCACCTGCACATTTAGTTGTATTTTAATAAGTTATGGTTGTGTTGCTTGGCTGTGCTGCTCAAAGCATGTCAAGGCAGTTTGTCATTGCTGACATCTACAGGCCGACCGTGTTCCCGTCAGACATCCCACCCGTAACCACACTGTCCATTACCAAGCCTGTATTTACTCGGCAGTCGTGCATAGCTGGTCCCTCTGGCTACGCAAGTTCTGAAACAGGAGTTAGTGTACGTTTTCAGTCTGGGGTGATTAATAATTATGACCAGGATTGTTCACATTGTGTCACATTGTTCTTCCTTTTTTCATGTTTTTAGATTCAGTATTCAGTGATGCAGCTTTTGCAGAGCCAGCTGCTCTCTTTCATATGGTCTTATCTCTTTGGATGTGTGAACAATGGGGACTCATGAATATACTAATTTCTGCTCACTGGTGTTTTGTTGCACACCCTTTACTATGCATACAACTTAGTTGTATGCATAGTAAAGCTTTAAGGTATTGTCATTTTATTATCTCTTGGCAAATACAGCAACACTGTCTTTAAATATTCACTGAATCATGTTTGTGTCATTCTTTGTTGAACCCACTTTAATTACCATCCTCACCAGGATTCATGAGCTTCATCACATTTTCTTTAATTACTTAGCTAAGTCATGTGTCCTCTTTATTATTCATCTCAGTGTATTGTTCTCACTCTTTCTTCTCTGTCTGTATGTCTCATTTTGTGTCTTGCTGTATGTGTCTTTTTATCTTAGTCGTGTTCCTTCTCTGTTCTCTTATTGCCTGACTTGTCCTCCTTTATAAACAGGCTTCTGTCTGTGTACATGTGTTTGTGATGGGATGCGATTTGAGAAGTCTCAGGTGTTTCCTGCCATTTTGTCATTAAATCTTTTCTCTCTAAACTATGAAAAAAAAAAAAACAATTTTCCTTCATCAAGATCTGGTAGCAAAATAGCAACACGGCTTTAAAACTGATACAGGATTGGCATTTACCACACCCTCCACCTCCATCTTCTATCTTATTTTAATGGTGTGGCCCCTTCTGGTATTCCTGACCAACCAATTCCAGACAATTATGCTAGACAAACCATTAAATGTTTTTCAAAACCCTCTGGGCGCCAAAACACCACTCCATATTGTGGCCTACAGTGTAGCAGGATTATCCCAGCGATGACATGCCTTTGGGAAACCCAATCTCCTGTCTGTGTAGCCAAATTGCCAGTCTGGGCTTTATAGTCCATTTTATCACTGAGGAAATAGGTGAAGCAGAGCACTCAGGCCCACAGCTAGTTAATCTCATTGTTGAAATTGGATGCTATAAGTGAAACAGAGTTAGCTTTTATAGACGAAGGAAAAAGAAGATATCACCCTAATATATTTTGACCGGTTTGTTGTGCTTTCAGGGACTTGAGTAGGTCTACAGAAAGACAAACGCCATCATAAAGTTGGCTAAAAAAATGCAGAGTGGCCATTTCAGTCTTGAATGTTGTTTTTTTTTTCTGCCTGATGGAGGGAAGGATCCTTATTTGGCTGATAAACTGCTGTGAACTCTGTGGTGTTGGGTTACTCAAACATTGTGATGTTTCGACGGCTCCGAGCCTTGTTCTTTATGGATTTTCACCCTCTGTGGCTGCTGCGTTCTGTTTTGGATTTAGTTTTCACCTTTATTATGGAAAGATCTTTGGAGTTAATCAGACTCTGTGAGTGTTGGTCTGTTTCACTATGATCTAATAATTGCAGCCAGCTTGATCCTCCTGTGACCGTGCCCTCTCGTTGACATGATAGAATTGTACAGCTGAACATTTATATTTAATCTCCTAACTCTCATCTTTAATGCATGAGGAGAGCGGGAGACCGACTCACCCAATCCCCACCACCTCCCCCAACCTCCCCACACCCCTTATCTCAGCCCACTGGGACGGTGGAAAAAGGCGGATTAGTGCATGATTAAGTCTGTGGTGTTAATAGGAGCCACAATACTGCCACAGTTATTCACTTCCCCCATCACTCTCTCACCTGACTTATCCCTTCCCGCATGTGTCTCCTGGCCAGGTTCCGTTCCCCGGCACCTTCAAAACACGCACACACACACACACACACACACACACACACACACACACACACACACACACACACACACACACACACACACACACACATCGAACTTCCTGAGTAACATCTGATCTCTAACCTTAAAATTATCTCCAATGTTTCATTCTCATTTAGGACATAAGTGTGCACGAGCTAAACAATTACATCATATAAATACATCACAAGTGCTTTTCCACCCAGAGAGGAATCAGAAACACACACATCAAACCTCACTACTAAATGACCTAATGTTAACCCTTATCACCTTAACCCAAAACACAAACCTACTATAAGCATGTTTCCACATGAACATTCAAACAGGTTTTGGTGACTCTGACGATTCCTTCTGTTCATTCTGGCCATGCAGAGATCTGTTTATAATGCATTTTGAGTGTAAAATGTATTGCGAAGTTTATTTGAATTTAACATGAGTCTGAGTTAGAAAGGTCCATTGAGTATCAACCAAAGTTGATGATGATGGATGTACTTCAGTTCATTTTCACAGTGGATTTTGCCCCGTTTATATCCCAACCTAAGTTTGACCAGATGGAGGCTTCGTTTATGTTTCTTCATTATCCTCTTTGGATGTGTTTTGTGTGTATTTTGCATGAGCTTTTCCCAGAGTCCTCATTGAACCAATAGTTAAACTCATTAATTTCTGCCTCCATGTGGGTTCTGCTGAATGTGTTAAATGCACGATGCATCATCACCATCTGTCTTGTAACTGCTCCATCACACAGAAATCAATAAGTATTTACCTGTGATAAAATTAGTAATCACTCTCTGTCCCCTTCTTGCTTTTTCTCTCTTCCTGTTTACACAGAAACACAACAAACTAGTAGTGAAGAATGGTGGTCAACAGAAAGCATCTGGGATGAGAGATTTGCACTTGTGTAAATGTTTTATTTAATCAATAAAACCAACCATCTCAAATTAGGTGTTGCCTGTAGCTCGATAAGTGAAACACACAGCATTACACCGCTGTACCTAATGGGAAATGGATTTCACTGGAATACTTCTTCAGTCATGACTTAAAACTAATGTCAGAGTCATTACATCTGCATGAATGTTACAGCAGCACACTCAGAAGTTACAGTCCTGCTGATTAAGTGTTGCTAATAGCACTGTAATATTTGAGTGACAGAGTGAAACACAGACCCAGAATATATTAATATTTTAGTGGAATACAGGATGTGGATGATGGAGAAAGAAGGCAGCCGATGCATTAATGTTATAGATGCAAGATGCATCTTAGTTTTACAGTGAAGCTTCTCAGATTTTTAGTGTGTGTTTCTATAAATTGATACAAATTTAGGACATAAAATGTTATCGTAGTCTGTCACAATAAAATATAAAGAATGCAAAACACAATGCTGCTATTGGATTTATTTAAGTGCACTACAGTATATAGTGCGTACAATTTCATTCTGAATTTGGATACATTAAAACAATGTGGGCAGTAAATACACTGCACTATAATAAATGGGGATTTTATTTGTTTATTTTATTGGATCCTCATTAGCTTCTGCTATAGCAGTTGGTCGTCTTACTAGTTCAATTTATCACATGAACAAAATTAAGACTGTGCCAAACAAGCACAGATAGATGCTTTTATAAGGTTTGTCTTGGATCTAGGGAAAATTAATTAAATTAATTGAGTGAATGAGAGAAGAGCCTCTAATATCTTGTAAATCCAGCACACATGAATTAATAAATTAAAACTTCCCCTTTAATATGCCACACATTAAGAACAGGCCACTGAACTTCTTCAGCTCCACCTGTCAGTGTTGTGTTTCCCTGTGGCTTTAGGGAATGAGGGGGTTAAGTGCTGATGGGGTCACTCTGTACAGTGCAACAGGGCTGTTAGAAGACAGTACTGAGGGGGCAGCACCCCGAGACTTGATGTCTTTAACACTGCATGTTGGTACCGTGGTTCCTCGTGGCCTCAGCTTTTGAAGCTTCCGACCTTCAGTTTGGCTTTGTGCATCTAATTGAGTGTTTATGTGTGCTTGAACGGCCGCTGCTGTCTGACGTGGCGACGCAGGAGTTGTGTGGTATATTTGGTCAGTGTCATGGGATGACATCATCTTTCACCCTGGCACTGCCTCAGTCCAAACCGGTAAGACCCGAGAGTTGGAGGTTTAGCCTTTTTGTAAAGCCGAGGGGACAGCTCGTGCCCAAGACATAGAGATGAAACCTAGCAGCCTTGCTTCATCGGTAATCCCACATCATGATATTTCAGCAATTCACTCAGTTTCCAAGTACCGCTGGAGTACTTTCTTAGAAAAGCCTCTTGTATTTGTCCTTTATCCTCATCTGTCCTGTGTGAGTGTAGTGAACCAGTCCTCTTTTCACTGCTACACAGGAGTGAAACATTTAAATGTCATAATGCTGAACCATTCCAACTCTATATTGATAAATTTGGGACTAAAACCTCAATCTGACCTTGTACACGATGAATAAAGGTGGCTTGTTGTGTCAACTGAGTTTTGCAGAGCTGCTGAATATTTCAGCATTGCATTTCCACATCTACCTAGAGGCAGCACTCAGTGTCACTGTTCTCTGCTTTAGTAAGACCATGTCCAGAATAGGTCTGTTAATTAAAAGTTAATATATATTACTGTGATTAATCACTTCACAATAGTCAGTAAAGCCTAGTCCCTGTCTTGCTCTCTTAGATGCATTAGAACCCTGTTTCTCTCTCTGTGTATCTACAAACCCAATTCCAAAAAAGTTGGGACACTGTAAAAAATGTGAATAAAAACAGAATGCAATGATGTGGAAGTTTAAAATTTCAATATTTTATTCAGAATACAACATAGATGACACATCAAATGTTCAAACTGAGAAAATGCATAATTTTAAGGGAAAAATAAGGTGATTTTAAATTTCATGGCATCAACACATCTCAAAAAAGTTGGGACAAGGTCATGTTCACCACTGTGTGGAATCCCCTCTTCTTTTTATCACAATCTGCAAACGTCTGGGGACTGAGGAGACAAGTTGCTCAAGTTTAGGAATAGGAATGTTGTCCCATTCTTGTCTAATACAGGCTTCCAGTTGCTCAACTGTCTTAGGTCTTCTTTGTCGCATCTTCCTCTTTATGATGCGCCAAATGTTTTCTATGGGTGACAGATCTGGACTGCAGGCTGGCCATTTCAGTACCCGGATCCTTCTTCTACGCAGCCATGATGTTGTAATTGATGCAGTATGTGGTCTGGCATTGTCCTGTTGGAAGATGCAAAGTCTTCCCTGAAAGAGACGACGTCTGGATGGGAGCATATGTTGTTCTAGAACTTGGACATACCTTTCAGCATTGATGGTGCCTTTCCA